GATATTTAGTGGCTTTTTAATTAGAGTATTAGATACTAAAAGGTTAGATCTATTAATAAACATGACTATTTTATAGATTGAGATGAACAAGCACTGTTATTTTGTAAATTAAAATATTATTTTGTAAGTTATGTTTAAAATTTAAATTTTAAAAACGCTAAAAAAATTAATTTTTTTAAAAATGATTTGTGGAAGGGGATTGTGCCCAACCATACTTGGATTAAAAAGATCATAAAGAGGGATTGAAATGAGATAAAAGAGTGCTTCCCGTATTCAAATGAATAAGGAGACAAAATAGATGTGGCCAAGAAAAGAAAGACAAACGTAGAAGATCCAAGATAAAAATCAAGCAGTGTCCTTACTGGAATTTAAAAAAATTCTCAAACTTGATGTCACCAGACTCCATATTCAAAAACAAGATCTTATCTCAACAGAATTCCATATTTCATTTGAGCTTTTTCCCATGGCCGATGCAGGAGTAGCATGCACTTAACATGCGGTACTCCTCAATGTAAAATTACTCCCTTCTTTAATTATTTTCCTTTGTGGGATAATAGATGTAGGTTCCTTTGGAAGTCCTAAAGGTGCTCAGTCGCATTTACTAGGTCTTTGCCCCTGCCTTCCCATCGAACGGCCATTTCCACCACCTTGAGCCCCCAAAGTTCTTTCTCCATTTTCCATCCTTTCCCCTCGCTTTCCCTCGCTTTCCCTCATCTTTATAAACAAAGACAAGCCACAAGCGGGATTCAGTTAAGAAGGAAGATGTCAAACAAATCCCCCGTTTTCCCCATGCCAGAGCCTCAACATTTCAGTGACTATGGATTTGACCCACAAATTGATTATTTTCAGGTTTCCAACTCTTCCTCTGAAAATATTGTTCCTTTTTTTTAAAAAAAAAATTTTGGTAATTTTTCAATGACCCATTTTGGAATTCAGGTGTTGGAAGAAGCAAAGATGCACAGAAAAGAGGCATCGAGATCATCCATAGATGCTCTGCATTTCAAGCTCCAAAAACCTATTGTCAATGACGAACCCAAGAAGACCCACAAGGCGAAGAAGAAGAAGCGGTGGTGGAGGAATGCATTCCTTTTCTTTAAACGGAGATGGGTTTCCCACGGCAGCCGCCGTCATCCTGATCTCGACCTCGACCTCGACGAGGACGTGCATCATGCCAGGGCCAAAGCTTTCCGGGCTTCTATATCAGGACCCGTTTACATAACCGAGAGCAGAAGCGGGTCAAGCACTCCTTACCTGACCACAAGCCGCCCCTCTTCCGGTCCTCTTGCCGGAACCTCGAAGCCGGATTTTTCCAGGGCCATTCCTTATTTGAGTCTCAGGGAACTTAACTTGGAGCAGCAACAACTGAGCGTTTCTACATCTGCCATGCCCATATATTTGGTTACTTAGCAAACATTTTGAGTTGAAGTTAGTTCCTTTAGAGCCCTTACTATCATCTTTTAGGATTTGCAATTGGGCCAAAATTTCTAGTAGTATGATTTGTTTAAAGATTAGATCTTTGAGGGTAGAGAGGAAAGGGCTGCATCCTCCCTTTATTTGTTTTCTGCCCTTCTTTTTCTGCACGGCTCCTTTATCGATGATTTCTGCAAAGTGCAAAGTACTATAATGAACTTGTGCTTTGAGTTGGGTGTTTTGCTTGCCCTTTTTCATGGGAATTGTATATAATGAAGATCAAAGTTTGATATTTTTCCCTTTTCCGTGCTATTTGTTGATTTTCTGCAAAAGTTTGAAGCGTGGTGAAACACTGTGGATTTTTGGCGCGTGTGTTGAGGATACTGGGTGTGGGTGGTTTTTTTTTATAAGGACAATGATAATGAGTAGGTTAATATTATTATATGTTAGCAATTAAGGATATAAAATGAACAGTCTACCTGCCTAAACGAGGCGCCGGCCATCGGGCGCTTGAAGAAGTGCGCCCGGCATCGGGCCGCTTGGAGGAGTTCGGTGTGGGTGGTTGGTCAAAGTAACAAAATGTTAGTAAGATGTGCAGCAATTGTTAAAATAATAATAATAATAAATAAATAAATAAAATAATATATTAATTTTATGGATTGAAATTTTAAAAAACAATTAGTTGTATTTGTTCTTTAATTTTATATAGATTAATTTATTGATTTTATATAATAAATAAACAATGATTAAAAATTTACTTAAATATAAATACTTAATAAAAATTAAATATTAAAAAATTTTAATTATTATTTATTTATTATATAAAATTATCTTATCAAACCTTTTTTAAAACTCAAACTAAAACAACTAAACATAACCATAAAATGTATTAAAAAAAAAGAGAGAGAACTTGGACGGAGAAAAAGAATAAAAATTTTTTAACTTGTGCCTTACAATGCATTTATAACAATTTTTCATGAAAATATAAAGATAGATTATAATTTTATCAATTATTTAATTAAAATTATATACATGATATTAACATTGAAAGCAAATTGTAATTTTTTATACAAATTAATAGACAACTAAATGCAATCAATACCTATTAACATGTGCTTTTAAGTCAAAGGGGTAGAAAAACTCTAAAAAAAAATTGCCTTTCAACTACAATTATCACGGAAAAAAATAAAATAGTTTCATTATTACTTTAAAAATAAATTATTTTAATTTTTTAATGAGATTCTAGTATAATAATGTAATTTTATAGTAAGTTTTTTCTTAATTTTTTTAGGTTCAAATCAAATGATAAAGACTTTTACGAGTTTTATCATAAAATAAACAAAATCAAAAGAAAAATGGCATGATCTGCTGCAGCTGCTTAATTTCAGTTTATTTTGAGGATGAGGATCGCTACCAATGCTTCCTCCAAATATCGTTTTAGTAGACCAACGTTTTATCGCTCCTAGTGAAAGTGAGTGGATTTTTTTTAAGTGAGTGGATTTTTTTTAAATAAGAGCTAGAGTTTAAATTTTGTAAATGGATAAATAAGTATTGGAAGAGTTTCTTCATTAATAAAATTTAACGTAATTTAATTTTAAATTAATTAAAATTTAATATAATTATCAAATGGAGCGATTAATAAAATAAAAAAGTTTTAGTAGCACTGAACATTTTGACTTTTTTTTTTTCTTCTTTTGGCTATCAAAAAACTGATAAATCATGTAAGTAGGTGTGTTACAAGGTTTTTTTTTTTTTTTTAACAAGAGTAATGGTTAAGAAGTTAGTATGGGTTAGTTGTTAACGATTGAAATTTTCAGATCGATGAACATTCTATACCCTCAAATAAGATGTGTAACCATTAAATTACTTTTTAATAAAGTTCATGATGATGATAAAACTTAAAACTCTAACTACCACCTCACTCAAACCCTAAGGCTTGGAAACCATTGTGCCTCAGACCCGGTTCGCGTGTTACAAGGTACTGTAATAAGGAGTTACAGTCTTTTTTTCCTTTTCTTGTCATGTCATATGCTAATGGCTGCTGCAGATGAAGACAATGGCTGATTAATGATGACTTTTAACTGCTTGATGATAATTTTATTTAGACATTGTAGCTGTAATTAAATATGATGGTTCCAAGTGTTTTTTTAATAATAATTCACCCTCCAAATTTGTTTCAAATCCAAC